TATATATATATATATATATGATCATTTTAATAATCTGTATTCTTTTTAATCCGTCCCGGTCTGCCCCTGCCTGCGGGTGCTCAGGCTCTGGACCCCGGCCTCGCACGCTCCTGCAGGTTGGCACTCGGAGGATACTCCGTGGTGACCGGCGGAGCTCGGAGCCGGAGAGGTGATGCCCTGCCTGGCCTGAGGGGGCTCCGAGGCTCCGATGGAGAGGACCGGGCAGGCTGGCGTAGCTCCATCTAGCTCGCTCTGAATTTTGTCGTCGGCCACCAAGCACAAAAAAGGCCTATACTTCAGCATTAGACCACGGTGTTGTCATTATTGTTTTTAACATTTTTAAAAAATAGGTCCAGTCGCTCCTCCAAGTTTGAGTTATTGCAAATGGTGGATTGGGTTGTTGTGAAAGTTTCTCAATCAACCAGTGACTTCACCTCCTGACCAATCAGTGACCGACAGTGTCCTGATGTCACGCTTTCAGTCGGCACGGAACGCTTGGAACTGGAGCAAAGTTGGTCCTGAAAAAGGTGCTGGTTCCACGAATACTTGCTAGTGGAAAAGCCTGGGAAACGTGCAGAACCAAGTTGAACCGTGCTGTACAGGTGCTAATGGAAAAGAGGCATTAGTTGGCTCACTTTGACTTTTTAGAAATGCTGAGCCACTTTGTACTGTACATCAGTTTTCAGCCTTTCTTTCATTCTGCATCTGTTTTGTTTGTCAGGAGTTTATCTGTGTAATTGCATGAAACCTGTCTCCTACAGCTTGGGGTAAAACAGGCAGCTCAGCTGGTTTCTGTCATATTTGATCTAAAGTTATGTGATTGATTGAAAGCCATTTCAAGTTGCTTCTGTTTCTTCATCCTTGACGTCATATTATTTCAGCATGTTTTTTTTAAACCACAAGGAATTAATTTGTGGATAAATGACTCAAAACAAGATTCAGTTCCCAGATTGGGCATTGACTAACCTCAATGTTTTACACTGACTAGCCCAAACAGCAGACTTTTTGAAGACTAATCCCAAGATTGCAAAGATATGTTCATCAGTCAGTGTCATTGCATTCTTCTTGATGTTTTCAGATATTTACGAAATTCAACAATATTTTTCTGATTGAGGCTCACACCAAAAATATAAGACTGCAGTTTTGTTCTGGAAACCATTTATCCTCAAAACAGCTGATGGTCTCATGTTCTCTAGCTGCAGAAAATCAATGCTGTGCCTCCAGTCTTTTTTTCTTTTCTTCTGCTTTCCTTTGTCTCTTTCAGTGTGTTGTGTGTGTGTGTGTGTGTGTGTGTTTGAGTTTGTGTGTACAGGTTTTGAACTTTTGTTAAAACACAGCTAAGATTAAAAGGACAGCCATTTTTATAATGCAAAATGTCCAGCAGTGACATCTAATGATTATACATGAGCCTTCAAAGTAAAGTTCCTCACTGCGTCTCCTGAGTTAATGTTCCATGTCTGTTTACGTTTTTGTTTCAAGTCTCGTAGCGTCGACAAGCAGCATGCAGTCATCAACTATGAGTTAGGGAATGATGAACACAAAGTCAAGGACCTGGGAAGCCTGAATGGAGTAAGTATTAATGTGGAAAAGTCCCAGAGAGAGGTAACAAAACAAAACAAAAAAAGGACAGGAAAGAGAAATTGATCAAAGAAGAACATGTTTAACAAACTAAAAACTGAATAAAAAGGACTGAAAAGTAGCCGGGTTGAAATAACGTATTTGTTTTTTGTTTTTTTCTTTACTTAACATCACCAGTAAACACTTATCCATAATTTTTGCCAACTAGCTAGAAGGGGAATTCCTCCAACAAAGAATCACAGCCCAGTTTTTGATCAGCTGACCAATTTTAGCAGACTCGGCCTTTTGAGAGCCTTAAAGAGACAGAAACTAAAACTCCTGGCTGAGGCATTTCAGACTGACGGTTACAAGAGAAATGCACAACATAGACCCCAAGAATAAAAACTGGACTCTTTAAAAAGACTAAAATGTTTTCTTTAAAGGGCATTTATGGGAACACTCTGAATCTGGTGAAACTAGTGAGTTATGACTGATAAAACTAGTAAGTAAAACATACACCACAAACACAAATTTAAACATAGATATGTAATTTTAAAGGTTATTTTGTAACTGTGAGAAACTATAAAACCATTGTTTTCCTACTTTTTACTTCGTAGTTCTTTAAAACTTTGTTCCAATGGCCACATGGCATTAGTCATATGAAGTGATTCGTACTCAGTCACAGCCCACCAGATTAGACACATGTGCACAACGTCCCTCACATCCTCTCCAGCCCTCACACAGGAAGTCAGAGTCAATTTCTACTGTGTCATTAACCGTTCAGCTTCTTTGGCTGGATTTAGAGGAAGTTTTCTCCCGCTGACTCAGTGGGTATGTAGAAGTTTGGACAGTGTTACTAATCACTCCCTAACTGAAATCATTTCACTGCTAAGTCGCTGCTGACATTTGATCTCACTAGAGAGCAGACAGGAATGTTTTATTACAACAACAGCAGTGCAAATGTGTAGAATTGTATTTACAGTAAAGTAGAACTTGATCTGTAGAGAACAAGTGAGTGAGTTTGAAAGAAGAACAGGAACCAAACCTTCAAACAAAAAGAGAAACATGTTTTGTTAATTCTTTCTTTTTGACTAACTTTAGATTCTTTACTCTGGGAACTTGGTGACTCACTATCACCATTTCCTAAAGCTTTGCAGAGTTTATGAGCCAAAATCCAAAATGGCTCTTGTGATCACCAAAATTAATTTACATATAATTTAATTAGCAATTGCTAATTTCTGTGCTTATTTTTTTTATTCTTGCAACAAAAAAACAAACAAAAACAAAAAATCACAAAAATTAAATAAAGTCAAAAACTCAACAGATTAATTGGCAAGGTAATTAGCAAATTTATAAATAGTGCAAGGATTATTTGATTTCACTCCTAAAGTTTGTGTTTAGCTTAAGCAATTGTTACACTGAATATAATTACATTTTTGTTTTCCTCTCCAGACCTTTGTAAATGATGTTCGCATTCAGGAGCAGATGTATATAACTCTGAAGTTGCAAGACAAGCTGAGGTTTGGATATGATATCCTTTCACTTCTTTCATCTCTTCTCTTTGAATTTTACATTTTCAGTGGGTTGACTATATTTATTACTCCCCGAAGAGCTAAATTAATCCCTACCAATATGCCAATATTTTTTGTGTATCTAATAACCACAACACATTTTATAGCCTGAAGTTATCTAATTTATGTTCACATTCAAACACATACTGTATTGTGATATTGTCCCTAGTATTTCCTTAACTTTACTGTCTTACATACCAATCTGTTCACGGTGGTGAGAGGGGAGCTTACAGTGCCTGAAGAGGCTCTCAAGGTGAGAACAAATACCCTGTACCCTTTAATGGATCAAATTAAATATACAGCTTTGACATACACTTTGCATTTCTTCTACTTATTAGTATTTTTTCCTACATCTTTCAGCATGAAAAGTTTACCAGTGGACTCCAGCTTAGCAAGAAGCCATCCAATGGTGAAACCTCTACAGGCAAAACAAGCAAATCTCCCAGTAAGACCCCAACAAAAAGCCCAAAGTCACCCAGCAGCAGCAACGCAAAGTCTGGAGAGAGCAGACTAACGGATGGAGTCACTTCCTCTAAAGAACAGTCGGCTAAACTTACCGAGTCTCACAAAGCAGAGGAAAGGATAGGAGGTGAGACACAGACGATTGGATGGGGGAGAAGGGGATGGGGGGAATTGACTATACACTTCATCTATGTCTTTTTTCAAATTTATTGGGCTTCCATAAAAAGTAGGTTCTTTTTTTGTAAGTCAGAGTATAGAAAAATACCTTCAAGTCAAATTCTGAAATGAAGTTCAACTAAAAAAAAAAAAAAAAGACTGGGGGGGAATGAAATTATGACAGATTTCATTCTAGCACAAAAGCATGACGATTAATGGTTTTTATTTTGGCACATGAGGCATGTTGTATTTATTTTGTTGTACTAACGGTTTTATTTTGAAGGGAACACGTATCTTGGACTGAATATGTTTAAATTAAACAGAGGACTTTTATCTCAGGCCAGAAGGGGGTGGGATGGTCACTAGGCAAGAGCTTCAACCACCACACTAGCATTCATTTATCCATAAAAGCAGTTTAGATCTGAGGGTGCACTTAATAACAAACATCTCTGGCTAGGTAGGAGCAGTAGCAAAAGCCCTTGTTAATCTGCAGTTCTTAAAACAAGACCGCATGGAGCTTTTTTTTTGTAGAGATTAATCAGTAACCGTGTCAAAGTGACTGCATCAAGCAAAGCTGTAAGACATTTTAAATTTTCTAAAATTACAAGATGTCCAGTTACACACTTACATTTTCACAAGTGTTGGAACACCAATGTGCATAGTACTCCCATCTGCCAGGCGTATGTGTAAATCTGCTGTGTAACTGCTGTAATGCCAAGCCACATGTTGATATTACACCTTGTGGTAAGCAGACAGTCTGCACGAGGGTCCAACTTCCTGCCTGTAGTTTGGCCTGATTGTGGATAATTACGTTCAAGACTATGATTTAACTTTCACAGCTCAGTATAGAGGTATTTAAGAGGCAAGTAGGCAAAAAAAGAAATTAGGGCTAGATGTGGCTTTTCTTTACACAGTGCAATAATATACTAAATGCTAACTCAAATCCTTCAAAGGACTTTTCATGCTTGTCATTTTCCTTTCTCAGCTAGGTTTCCTTTCCCTTCATTACTTGGGTTGGAAAATAAGTGGACACACGATGTTTGTCCCATGTCAGCTTCCATGCTTACTGGAACATTGAGGCCAACGTAAAGTTCCTCTTTCATTTACACTGCTTGTGATAATTAGGAACAACTGAAATGATCCTGTAAATACTGGTAGGTTAGTGAAATAGACCAGAGGAAATAATGCATAGATAAATTTATATTGTTATTTAATAAACTGTTCATCTAAAATGCTACCTGGTAAAGTCTATAGTTAACACTTGTTTTAACAAACCACAGCAAAACTGAATTGTGCATCTTCTGCACAGTGTTATAATGCATCTTTGTGTGCATCTTCCCCAGGGGACATTACAGCACTTCCTCGTGGGACCCCTCTGTATGGCCAACCCTCTTGGTGGGGTGATGAAGATGCAGATGATGAAAACTCTTTCAAACAGGAAACCAAGTCATCCTCATCCAAAAAACACGACAGCTGCATTTCAGGTAGGACATGCATGAAATTGTTGATTCCAGACATCTTTTGCACAAACATAATCTTTTTTTCATTACTAAAAAGAAATCTGATTGTACAGATAGTGAAAAACACCGTTTTTAGCAGCTGTTTTAAAGGATGTAGTGATCCATCCAACTGCCCTTCATCCTTTTTTTATGCAATATGTGCTCTCTTTTTAGATTGCTATACCATGCTGTATGTTTAAAACATTATTATGGGTGCAAAATTACTAATAATAACTCTTAAAGCATGACATTATCTTACACGAGTGCCTACAGTACTCAGCTAGCACACACCACAAGGTAAGAATATATTTTTTCTCAAATGCCTTGATAGTTTAGCTGCAGAGAGTTTGTCCCGATTCCTGATTTTGTACAAAATATATTACTAAACCAAGTGTGCAAGTGTGGGATTGGGTTTGGTTATTAAAACACTGCAGTACAAATAAAAGCTGATGTTACTTAAAAATAAGCTGGTTGGAGGCAGACAAGTCAAAATCATGATGTTATCCTTGGCCACGTTATAGGCTCAGTAATCCCTGAACTTTATTAGTTTATTCCTTCGTATTAAGACTATATAGGCTGACATTAAGACCTGCTGTTTATGTGAGCAGGATTTCACTGCTGTTAATGGGGGCTTTTTGTTTTTGTAATGACACGTTTCTGTGTTTAATAATACTTAATGTGGCGACTAATGGGAACTCAGTTTTCAACTTCTGGCTGGGAAAAGAAAACATACAAAAGAAACATCACAAAATCAGTTATTTTACTTAAGAGCCTTTGTAATGTCTGATCAAATGAATCCCTGGATAATGTACTATTTGGGTATTTCTCGTGTATTTGACTTTTAATTTAAGTGAACTACATATATTTTGAAGAGAATCTGCTTGAACTAAAGCAGGCGAGTTTATACTTCTGTGGTGTAAGGAAAACAAAAGTATGAATTCAGGATGTAAGTAAAGATGGTTGGAAGTGGAATACTTCTCTGAACTCCAGCTGGGAAATACATGTGGGCTACATCTCAGAGTTTTTGATTTGTTAATCATTTCAAATTCCCAAATATATGCTCAAGGATAAGTAAGGATTAAGTAGGATTCAGCCTATATGAGGCCAATGCAAATTCCAATCTGATCTTTGTTGGGTTTTGTTTTATTTTATAAAAAGAGCAATAATACACACAACTTAACTCACATGTACATGATAATCATTGTATGCATTGATTTGTAGATCTATACTGCATGTCTTAAAATAAATGTCTAAAGCACAATGTTTTACAGCAGTCACGCGGAGGTTTGTTGTAATCTGCACTCATTTTCTGGGCCAATCTCATGAAATAATCTGTTGAATAAATGACTGATGCAGAATGCATTTCAAAATGACAAATAATCACAGAGATTAATCTGCTTGTTTCTGGACTCAAACATGCTGTAATTCTCTAAACCAACTATATCCCTTTGACTTTGACACTAACAAATACATTAGCATAATTATTTGTAGGTACAACTGTGTTTCTGCCTCTTCATTTAGAAACGTTTTAGGTTTCATTTTTCAGATTACACAATCAGGAACAGATATGTAGGTCAACTGGCTGGTGTGCCTGTTTAGAGTTACAGTATTATGGACATGAAAGGGTTTCTTTCATTTCTGCAACAAAGTTTTAGTTTTTTTTTTTTTTCATGCAAAATTGTCACACATTAGATTTTGATAAAATAGCTTCATTTATTCAACAAATATTTAACTTATCAGTTAATACTTGTAAAACCAATGTTATTTCATTTATGTCAAATATAACAATGGTTATTCACTGTAAAGAGAAATTCCTTGAACATTTTTGAACAGTGATGTCAATAAAATTCACATTTCTCCATAACACTTGGCATTACTTCCTTGAGATTATTCATAACCTCAGATTGTTATTTTTAACCTGTGAACATTGGTTTCTAAAACATTACTCACCATTCAAATAATTAGTACTAAAATGTTATCCAGATCTGCATGGGTGTTTTCAGACAGCACTATCTCAAAAAAGTATAAAAGCCACAGCTTCGTTATTTACACACCATTATTCCTGCCTAGTAAACAAACATTTTGATGTGCATTATATCTCTGTAGCTTGCAAATTACAAATTAAATGAGTGGCAAGAGTTAAAGTACAAAATGAGAAATTAGCAACTGAGTTTCCTGATGCTTGCTCAATAATCCAGGTAGAAAAATCCAAAAAAGTTCAATCTGGTCCTCTGGACATTCAAAAAAACAAAACAAAGCAAAAAAATAATAAAATAAATGTAGAAACGTTTCGTCTCTCATCCAAGAGACTTCTTCAGTCTGAGGTGCTGTATTCAGCTCAGTCTCTTAAATAGCACCTTCTTCAGAGTGGATCAACCAGTTTTGCTGCTGACAACCAAAACCAGCTGATCACATGCTCAAGAAGGACCATCAGCCTAACAATGGATCATTAGCACACTGATGGCTGTTTACTATTCACAGAGGGCTGAGTGATACTAGCAATCACAGCATTGTAAGAGGGGGACAGTTGAACCCGGAGGCCTCCACCCCTGTTTAATGATGGACGGTTTCTTTTCACAAAGATGGCCTCCTTTACTCCTCTCTCAAACCATCGTTCCTCTCTGTCCAGGATGTGGCCTGGAGATGAGTGTAGACCGCAGAGTCCTGGCCTGATGATGTTGATCTTCTGTGCTGGGCCATCCTTTTGGCCAGTGGCTGTTTAGTTTCCCCGATGTAAGACTGATCACAGCCCTCCTGACACTGAACAGCATACACAACATTACTCTGTTTGTGCCGGGGGACTGGATCTTTGGGATGAACCAGTCTTTGCCGTAACATATTTTGGGGTTTAAAAGCCACTGGGACGTTATGTTTAGAAAATAAACGTCTCAGTTTCTCTGATACTCCCTCAACATACGGAATGACCACTTGTCTGGGTCTGGGTTCCTCCTTTTCACCTGATGGCTGACTGGAGTCTTGTTTGGGTTTCTTCTCTGCTTTCAGGAAGGCCCAGTTAGGATATCCACATTGCTCTAGAGCCTGTTTTTTGTAGGATTTCTCCTTCTGCCTGGCTCCTGAGCTAGTGGGGACGCTGTCTGCTCTGTGATACAGAGTCCTGATGACTCCTAACTTGTGCTCCAAAGGGTGATGGGAGTCAAACTGCAAATACTGGTCGGTGTGGGTGGGTTTGCGGTACACCTCGGTTTGCAAATGTCCTCTATCAGAGACTGAGACCTCACAGTCCAAGAAAGCCAACTTGCCATTTTTTACATCTTCTCGTGTGAACTTGATGTATTTATCCACAGAGTTGATGTGGTCAGTAAAATGTTGGACTTGCTGAGATTTAATTTTAACCCAGGTGTCGTCAACATACCTGAACCAATGACTTGGTGGTGTCCCTGAAAAGGACGTCAAGGCTCTCTTTTCTACCTCCTCCATGTACAGGTTGGCAACAATAGGAGAAACTGGAGACCCCATAGCACACCCATGTTTCTGCCTATAATATTGCTCCCCATATGTGAAGTAGGTTGACTGCAGGCACAGTTTCAAGAGTTGACACAGTTGTTCTGTGGAAAGCGTGGTCCTGCTGCTCAGAGTGGTGTCTGATTTTAATCTTAAACTGACCACCTCTACTGCATCATCAACAGGAATGCACGTAAAGAGTGATGTGACATCAAAAGAGACCATTGTTTCATCAGTCTCCATGATGACATCCCTCACCTTATCCACAAAGTCCATGGTGTTCTGTATGTGGTGTTCTGAGCTGCCAACTAAAGGGATGAGTACAGACGCCAGATATTTGGAAACATTGTAAGTGACAGAGTTAATCATGCTAACAATAGGTCTTAAAGGTACACCTTGTTTGTGGATTTTAGGTAAACCATACAGACTAGGTGTGGCCTCCCCTGGGTACAGTCTGTGGTACAGAAAACGGTCAATAGCCTTGTCCTGCTCCAAATTTTTCAGGCAATCTTATTAACTTTTTTTTGTAACCACTTCCTGGATCTCTTTTCAGAGGTTCATAAGTTGTTAAGTCACTAAGGAGTGTCATAACTTTCTCATGATAGTCTTTCTGGTTCAAAATCACTGTGCACCTTCCTTTGTCTGCTGGGAGAATGATGATGTTTTTGTCCTTGCTAAGAGTGGTGAGTGCATCCCTCTCCTCTCTACTGATGTTGGAAGGTGGTGGTTTGGCATTGCTGAGGCAGGCTGAAACTTTGATTCTGAGCTGTTCTGCTTCACCCTCTTTGAACTTCACCCTCTTAGCAACTGAGTTGTTCACATTCACAAACTGACAACTCAAACTAACAGTCAAACCTATTTTCATATGTTATTAACAAATTTATTTATATTAAAATGTAATTGTTAGGGCTGGGTTCTAGAAATTATGTGAAAGGATCGTTGGGACATTTGTTCTTACTCTATGAGATATTTGAGGAGCTGTGCAGCACCAAGTCACTTCAGTTTTTCCACCACAAGTTTTTAGACTGATATTTATGCACAGCAGGGCCACCCAGTGGATATAATGGGTGCTATAGTGTTCAATGAGATAAATAGGATAAACAAGGATAGGTTTTTAAAATGTCAAATGCGATGTGACATTTGGCTGCAAAAAAAATAAACCACGTGGAAACATTACAAAGTAAAAGGATATTGTATTTTATAACTCGTACTGTAGATGAATTTAGTTCAACTAGGGGATTTAAAGTAGTTTACACAGAGAGTAAAATAATATTTTAATTATTTGAAGACCAAACGTTTTTCTTTTTCTGTAAAAATGTAGTGATAACCTACAAGATTTTACATCCAAATGCACGCAAAGGTTTTTTTTTCCCCCAGAGGAGCAGAGTGTGATTGTTTGTGTGTATATTGGGTGACCCAAGACTGGATGGACTGGGGGTAGGGGGGGTCCTTGTTAACAGGATTACAGTCTACACCAATAGAAAAACAGCTCAGTGAAGCAAAATCAGTCTGTGCCAGGCTGGTTTAATGGAGCACTGTGTTCAGTAGGAATGGTGGAAGGAGGGGGGGTTAATCATAAACACAAACATGACAGCAGACTGAAGCCTCCTCAAATCTCTTTCCACATCTGGAGGGGTAGTCCGGCAGCATCTTCACCAGCATGAAAACAGACTTTTTCCAGCTTGTATGGTTCAGTTTAAAATAGCCTGGTTGTACATTGAGTTTCACTTTGTTGATTTTTGCAAAAGTGTTTTTCTTTTGGATTGCTGTTAGAAATTTTGAAGTAAATCTCTGCAAGAATGCAAGGATGATTTGAAACCCTAGAAAGCCTTCTTAAAATTCAGACGAATGGGTTTATCTACTTCAGTCATGGAAGAGGGTAAGTACAGTAAAAGGCATTTTGCTCTTTTGCAGGATTACATTTTAGAAGTCACTGTTGAATTATGTAATGTTAGATTTGTTTTGTGAAGCAGCATGTGCCAGGAGTGGTGCAGTGTAATTGGTGTACTTGGCACAAACTTCAGTATTAAAAAGAGCTCTTATCAGTGTGCGTGTTTTGAAAAACAGTGTGAAAAATTTCTCAATATCTGCAAAGTTCACAGTTGATATAAGTCATGGGGAAGTAGAGAAAATGAAGCAATTCTATTTCTGTGGGGGTTTTCACTCAGACATGAACATTAATCACTTAAGTTTGGTGTGTGTTCCTTTATATTTCTCAATAAAAAGGCTGTGTTTGCACCACCCCCACATGTATTGTCACTAAACTCGATTAAGTTACGCCATTGCACTAGCTCCCCATTTTCTCCCAACACACATACACAAACATCACACACAGCTTCCAAACAGACCACTCTGTACACAGCAGCAACTGTTGGCTAATACTCTGGCAAGTATTACTCTCAAATCCATGTACTTTGTATAATGTAGCTGGTAAAGAGCTTTCAATTTGTGTCGTCTTTGTACAGTATTAGTCTGACATCTGCTTACTTTGCGTGTGCCTTAACTGCTTTTTGCTCTTTTGAGATCTACGGTAATCATTTAACTCTCTTTAGCTCTTAAGGAGGTGAATTGAGTAGCCACTGTTTTAAGTTCATTTGCTTCTGTCACACCTTTACAGCAGGTGCTTTTTGTAAAGTTATAGAACACGTGTATTTTAGCATATCAATAATTTGAAAACGATTCACTTGGTATTATGGTATAGTTTTGTTTTTTTAATAAAGTGGTTGATAAGCCAATAAAAAAGGTCTTCAACATAATCATCTCTAGTTTACGCTGTTTGACCTGTAAAATATTGGCTTTAAACTAATTTTTCAAAATTCGCTAGCATGGTATTTCCCTCACAACTGTAAATGTTCATTAGTGTGAGAGCGTGAGTAGTTGTCTGTCTTTTTTGTCTATGTGGCCATGTAAACATGAGGCCCGTCCTCTATGCACAAAAAAGCCTGCACAAAAAAAGCAGGTAAAGAGGATAGATGGACGGTTGGATGTTTTTTTTCCCATAAGTCTGGTGATTTGTGTTGACGCTGATACGTTGACACTTTTATTACATGTGTGAAAGAGGAAGCTTAATTTAGTTCAGTGTTAAGAGGTGGAGTTAATTGTGATAGTGTGATGGCGATCTTTGTTTAAAAAGTTTCACACAGGAACCTCTGAAGCTTTCTGAGTTTCTAGAGTGAGATAGAAGTACAAGTGTGATAACACAACTAAAGCTGCTTTATGATGTCAGCAATCCTAACAAGTATTATTTTGCTATCGCAAAGATTGTTTACCGGTATATGTTTACCCGTGATTGTGGAAATGTTATATTTAAGCCTAAGGCTTAGGGTGATGGTGATCTTTTGTAAAAGAGAAGGATTTGATAAAACAAGGCAAAACTAGAGCATCATTGCTAAAATGAATGCAGCACAGTTATTTTATTTCTATCACAGTTTGAAGTAAGGACCTTAAAAGCACTGGTCTATAAAAACTGATATCTCCATTTTGTTTTGTTTTTGTTGTATATTGTCTGTAAAATCATAAGAATCATTCATGTACAGTAACTGTTTTTTTTTCCTCTGAGTTTCGTCCATGTTATAATCTTCAAGTTGCTTATTGTGTTTGGCGAGGACAGAGCAGAACCCAAAGTGCAGAACCAAAAACTCTAGATGGACTCAAAGGAAAAGTAAAGAAACTGATTTATTCAATTAAAAATAAAAAGCTGACGAGGCAGCAAAAAGTACAAGTGCAAATGCAGAAAAACCCAAAGTAAAAATTTGAACAACTGATTGGCACAATGCACGAACAAGGGAGTGATAAAAGACACTGTATAAAAAAACACACTAATGACAGACATTGACACTCACCTGAAGAAGACAATGAGGAACAGGTGAGAGTGAGAGGGGTAAGAACTGAACTACATGATGGGGAAAACACCGGGGAAGCTGAAACACTAGAATCACAGAAAAACTAAATAAAAACACAAAAATCACAGATGTTAACATCAACAGCTTTTCCAGCAACTGCTGATTATGTCAGATACTGTAGTTCCTTAAGCTGACTTGAAGGTAGTGAAGTAAGGTCTTTAATTCAAACATTCACTTCTTGCAAAAATCCTACTTTGTTTCTTAAATCCTTAAGAACTGTCAAATTGTAATTATAAAAATTTCACAAGAAATCCACCTTTTTTTAAATGATTACATTCTGCACAGGAGTTTCTGCACAGATTGATTTTATTTGCTGATTGCCATATGTTCCCATATTTTATCCCCAAGATGAAGCAGATGGCACCTTTGTTTTTGTGCAACTATTATTTATCCTGATCAGATCCCTCAGGATCTGGTTGTTTATAAATAAATGGGGGAAAAATATTCCAAATGGTCAGGACAAAAAAGAACATTTTAAAGATTTTTGTTTAAGTGACAAGTGAAAATATGCAAAACTGAAAAATATATTGGTTTTACCGTTTTCCTTTATTATTCAATAAAAAGGTTAAATCATGTCATCTGGACCAGTTTCTTTAAGTGATAAACGTTCCGTCCCCCATCCAGAGGACTTCCTCAATCTACATCCTGCCAACCAGATCTGTCCCATAGATAGCCTTCACTGCTGTGTTTCAAGCCAACCTCCTGTTGGAATCTCAAAAGTAGGTTTTCAACACGTGCGATACACACCTACCCAAAACAATCAATCATCTTGTACGACGATTAAATGTTTTAGGCCGGGTGGCCACCTTGCTACTCACAGAAACAGCCCGAGGACACCCAAGGCCAAAGTGGTTGTTTGGCAGGCCATAGACTGAAGATGTCCTCTGAATGGTGGACGAAACGTTTCTCACTTTTAGAAATTGGTCCAGATGACACAATTTAACCTTTTTTATTGTTATCTACTTGGATTATTGAGCTTACAACCTTTTTTTCTTACTCAATGTTTGATAAGACGTTTGACATTGCAGCTATTAGATGTAAAACAGATTAGCTGTTAAACTACCACCGATTAAGCCGACAAAGCAGCTTTGACCAGTCAGGGCTTAAACAAAGAACATCACAGGATTCTTGAGGGGTCAACACAAATATTTTCATGACTTGTTAACAGTACTGTCATTTTCTGAAGGAAATTGTTTTGCATTATGTCATAATACATACTGTATTTGCAATGTGTTTCTTATTTAATGTTCTGAAGCCTAAATTAGCCTTTGACCAACCAAAAATTTTAATATATATTCCTTTATTGAGTTTTTGCTGTTGTTTCCCAAACTCAGAGAGCAAAGAAGCCCGTCGAGGAGAGAAAGCTAAAGAAGGTGGCCTTCATGCATCAACTGCTCATGATTCCAGTTATTATGATGTTCCTACCAAGGAAGGTCACATGGCAAGTAATGGCATCCATGAAATTCCCACCAAGGACACCGAAGATGGACCTTCTCACAGCCACATTGCTGCATGTAATATAACATTTATTTATTTATTTTTGTCTGATTTTTGTATTTAATCGGTGACTGTTTAATTATGTGTGTAGTGTTTCTTTAAATGAACTGAAGACAAAGGGACTGTTATTTAGGACTTTTTATAGTAGTAATATTAGAACCATGTTACGAGTCCTGTTAATGTGACACAATACTCATTTTTCACACAGCTCAAGGTCACGCCTCATTCACCATAGAGTTTGACAACACCTCTCCAGGGAAAGTCACCATCAAAGACCACGTGTCAAAGTTCACAGCAGATCACCACAGGTCTCGCTCCAAGAAGAGCGGAGCAGGAAGTGGAAGTGCAGGAAGTAAGGACCTGAGCACGCTACAAGCTGCTATGATGGCGTCTGAGAGCAAGGTGGCTGATTGGCTGGCTCATAATGACCCCACGTTGATGCGCAGCGAGTCAACAGAAGACGACAGCAAGAGCATCAAGAGTGACGTGCCGGTCCATCTCAAAAGACTCAAAGGTGAAGTTTGGTCTTTTTGTTAACTTATGAATGTACAATATGTGGATTTTTTTTGTTAGTGTTGTCTGGTTCACTCACAACAAACTTAATTTTCTCTCTTTTAAAATGTTGCCAACTGTTATCAGGTCTTTAACCATAATAGTCGCTAGTTTCTGAGTTGACTTTTGGGCTGATTTGCTTTTGTTTATCATGGGTATCCCTGGGAATTTTATTGCTGTTGGTACTTCAGTTAGATTTGATAAATATGGAAATGTCCATACTCTGTACATTTGTTTTGCCTTTTTACCTACGAGCACTTAACTGTAGTTTTCTGCTGGTAGCGTTTTTTTGTGAGTTTGGGTCAAACTGTTCTTGTATGTTCTGCTCAAATAAGTTCAAGTTTGATGCTATTCAAGGGTTTTGCAAGCTGCAGGCAGAGCAGAGTCAAAAGCTTTTATTGGGCCAGTGCAAGCAGGAGCTATGCTAGAGCCAGCATGTGTTTATAGCCTGGGATTTGAACTCAGGCTAAAATTCTTGTCTTTGACGTTCAGTGTAAGTGTTTAAGATGTTAGATTTTACTATTTTTACATTACTATTGACAATTTGTCTCTTTTGTTTTTAACAGTTTACCGAGCTCAATCACTGTGTTCAGTAACTAGCTTCATTTTGCTTCCATGTCTCTTTATTAAATCAGTGTTAATCAGTGTTTGTACATAATCTTCTGCCCAGATTCAGAGCAAAACCATGTCTCTTTTTAAATGTTTTTTTAAAGTGTTATTATCAGAAGTAATAATGAGTTGTTGAGCTGCTAATGTTCTTAAGCATCCATCCTCCCAGTCTCTAACTGTAAACCTGACCTATGAACTTCGCAACACCCCTTACAAGGGCTAGTCTTGTCTGGCCCTGCTCCCTGGTCCAGACCGAACCACAGTTGGGTCCTGCTTAAGCCTTAGAAGTGACACTAAAGACAGTGCCATTTCTGGCCTGCTTTTGTCTAATAGCCCTGAGGAGGGAGACAAAAGTGAGTTGTGTGTTGATGAAAATGAAATCCTGTGAAGAGGAATGGAAAAAAAAACAGAAAACCTAATTTATTAAATGGAGTTAGTAACACTAATATGTCATCTGGCTGACAGGCGACCTACTGGGTGACTGTGCTCTTAACTGATTTACTGACTGGATTTTTACAGCTGGGTAACCAAGGGAAAACCAAGAATAAGATGAAGGGAGAGAGAAAAGGTAGATCACTGAAATGAAGATGGAGACAGGGAGCACAGAGAGATAGGTGGATAAAAGGCAAGTTGACAGCTGGATGGCCAGCTACTGACACTGGCTTTGGACATGTGAGGTGTGAAAAAAACAGGTGAGTTGAAATGGGTGAGAGGGAGAAGCTGGAAAAAGCACTGACAGCAGTATTATCAGCAAAATCAGCAAAGGTGAGTGAAAAAAGCAAGTAAAAGAGAGAAAGGGAAGGTTTGGGCTGCAGTGAAAGCAGAAAGGGAGGCGGTGAAGCTGAGGGAGAGCAGGCTTTGGTGGAAAGTTGTTATAGAAACGGCGATGCAGACTTTCATTTACACAGAGGAGATCTGAGCTGCAAACATCTGTCTGTGTGTTGAAGTGGCTGCAGCACATTCTGATGGTGTGTTTGTGTGGCTGAAAGCTGCAGTTTTTGCCTGCTTTGTTTGAAACATGCTCAGCGCTGACAGACTGCAGACAAGCAGTGCAGCATGTGTGAATGGAAATGTGCTTTGGGCGTGTCGTAGAGGTGCTGGCAAGAAGAGTCACAGAGATTTATAGAGGCATCTGAGCTGAAGCTTTTGATTGGTAAATATGAAGGTAAGTCTTTTTTGTATTAGATGGTGTACAGGTTACATCTTTATGTGATTTTCTTTGAAGTAGAAACTGCAGTGTGAGCATTAATGTAACATTTTAACATTTTTGGTGCATTTTCTGATAAATGTGACCAGTAATGATATCAGACGAAATGTTTGGAGTAAAATTAAAGTTGCAATTTTATTTTGCCAATGCGATTAGTTGCTGGTTTTGATGTTTTTGCGATTGATTAATGTGTTGGCTTTGCAGTCATAGAAAACTCTTAGTAGACGCACAATGGTCAACGTTCAACTGTATGTCTGTGTTGCTCTGCATTAATTGCTTAAATACACTACTGTTCTGTGTGTCTTAGAGACTACATGTTTGCTTGTGTGTGTTTGTGCAAAGGACGTGCATGCTTGTTTCATTTGTTCAGTTGTGTGTGTGTGTGTGCAGACTGCTCCACTGTGAGTCATGTTGGAGCGACCGGTACAGTGCACTGGTCTCACAGAAACCTCTGTTGTCCTCTGGCCCTGCTAAGAGCTAGTTCTTTGTCGTGGACACACAGAATGAAAGACCTGCTTCTCTGCTTATCTGCTGATCTGATCTACCTTCGTTAACACAATGCTGCTTTGTGTGGTCATTTCTTTAGCTCCCTCTTCTGTTTGAAGTGTATCCTTTCTTACATGCCAAGCTATGATTAAAGACAGAAAAGTTGGATAAAGGAATATAACAAATGAGCCACAGAGTTTATATAACCTTTGTTATGCTCATGTAGGTTACTGTTGCAAGAGTGAATTAAAAAAGTAGTAAAATAACTCATGCTGCCAAATGCCAACATTTTTCTCAAGTAAGGGAATACCCTATTCTTTAACATGATTTTTATTAGATATTGTGCTGAAATGTGACACTAGATTTATTATTGTAGACTTATCAATGCACCCAAAGATATAAAAATGGCAACAGGAACATGTTTCACATTAACTTATTCAAAGCAAGCTGTGGTGTGCATTCACTTATGTTTCATAACTTTTTTCTTCCATAGAATTTCTTATTGTAAGCTAAATTATCTAAACTTTTATAGGAATTTCCCTAATCTTCATTATGACAAACATCAGATAAATCAGATAAAATGCTCCAGTTTACAATACAGAGCTTCGTTTCAGAAGTAAAAAGTTAAAATATCTGTCCAGTTTGAAAGATCTTGTGTTTTCAAGAAAAATAAATGATCACTTTTTGTTTGGTTTATTTTAGTAAAGATTTCAAACATGTTTTAGCTCTGTGTTTTTATTGCTGATCTGACTTGTGAATGGAGCAGGTTCAGTGCTTCCTGCTTAGAGGGGAAGGACTGGGAAGTGAAAGCTGGTTCCACCTTTTTATATAAACAATACAACGTCTGTTAAATATTCACTTGCCAAGTTGGACTTGATTGGTTGTTTGAGACTTATGTCAACTTATGTAGCAATATATTCAATTTTGAGATTTCATTATTATCTGTTTTTTTTCCACTTAATCTAGTCGTTCTCTCCCATCCAATCTTATTCTTATCACATCCCCCAACCTCCTTCCCTTTTCAGGCACCCCTATTTTTTCTATTCCTTTATTTTCCTCTCGCCTCCCCTCCTCTCCTCCCCCATTCCTAACCCCTCCACCCACCACACACACATCCAGCACTGAATCCCCTTCCATGTCTTCCTCGTCCCCTCCCCCTCTCTTAATTCACAACCAGTGTAGTCGACTGGGCCAGCAGTTGTGTCGGTGGCATGGTTGGTTTAGTGTGGCGGCACACTGTTTTTAGTTACAGACTTGCTGAATCAACCCAGACAAATGAAAATGTGAGACCACAATAAATGTGGTAGGTAAATCAAATGTTGTGAGGTTAGAGTTCAACGTTGAAAGTTGGTTATTGATTTAGCAGTGAGGGTTTGCAGACAAGCAGCACGGTGGCACAACTGGTAGATCTGCTGCCTCTCAGCGAGAAGGTCCCTGGTTCAAATCCTGGTCCGGGGGCCTTTCTGGGTGGAGTTTGCATGTTCTCTCTGTGCATGCGTGGGTTATCTCCGCGTACTCCGGTTTTCTCCCACAGACCAAAAACATGCATGTTAGGCTGATTGGTGACTCTAAATTGTCCCTATAGGTGTGAGTGAGAGTGAATGTTTGTTTGTCTTGTTTGTCTCTGTGTGTCCCTGTGATGGACTTGCGACCTGTCCAGGGTGTACCCCACCCCTCGCACAGTGATTGCCGGACCTGGGCACCAGAGACTCCCGTGACTCAAAAATGGAAGAAGCGGGTTAAAGATCATGGATGGATGGGTTTGCAGACATGTATTTCTTTTTGTAGTATTCACAAAAGATGTCTGTCCATGTAAATGAGGGCCACTGTTTGATGCAAAGCTTTCGTTTTCTTATTTTTTACTAATAGCTTAAATACAATATACATCTAAACAGCCGTCCTTTTAATGTAGTGCTGTATGGAATCAGTACAGAGTATACATTTCTGTTGCTATGGAGTTGTGTATGTATGAATTTAAGGATCTTAGCTAACTTAATTTTCTACAGGTTGTAGGTAGATTATAAACAGGCTCCAGTTGATGGCAAACAGATTGATTTGATAGTGAACTGCACAATGTCATGTCAGGATTACAGTCATTAATCTCAAATCTATCAATCTATCTTATCTGTCTGTCTGTCTGTCTGTCTGTATCTATCTATCTATCTATCTATCTATCTATGTATCTATCTATCTATCTATCTATCTATCTATCTATCTATCTATCTATCTATCTATCTATCTATCTATCTATCTATCTATCTATCTATCTATCTATCTATCTATCTATCTATCTATCTATCTATCTATCTATCTATCTATCAGGATTACAGTCATTAATCTCAAATCTATCTATCTATCTATCTATCTATCTATCTATCTATCTATCTATCTATCTATCTATCTATCTATCTATCTATCTATCTATCTATCTATCTATCTATCTATCTATCTATCTATCTATCCATCTATCCATCTATCCATCTATCCATCTATCCATCTATCCATCTATCTATCTATCTATCTATCTATCCATCTATCCATCCATCCATCCATCCATCTATATATATACTTTTGTTTATTTTAATGAAATTTAACTAAGTTGTCTTTATTTTTCAGTAGGCAGCAAACATGAGGATGGCACCCAGAGTGATTCTGAGAACGGGCTGGGTCTGCGTTTTGCCACTCGCCGACAAGCCCTTGAGGAACGCCTAAAGACAGCACACAACCACGTGGGTGGAGGAGTTGGAGGGCCGAACACATCTGCGAGCGGGTCTAGAACTACTGGCACCCGTACGGCTTTCATGATCGAGTTCTACGACGAGGAAAACCCTCGCAAGCGTCGGTCATATTCGTTTTCCCAGACTGCCCCACTGCTTGGTGGAGTAGCCGGTGGGGAGGGACTATGTCCTCAGCCTCCCTCTCACCCTAAGGTGTTTAGTATTTCTACCTCTGCAGCTCTGGCCTCAGACTCAGGTAAATATAAACTATTGTGTCCATAGAAACTTCACACACTTTCCAGTTGTGAATTTTTTTTTTTTTTATCATAACAAATTACAGTCAAAGCAAAGTCACTTTAATGACAGAATCCCTTATGGTTTTAACATAAACACTCAAAATGCAGTTATAACAAGAATTTGTCTCTTTAACTTAATACTTAAATAAAATGTGTTTGCATTTTTTATAGCCTAATTTCTTCATTGTGTGTTTATTTTCTAGGTAAGGTTCCAGCTCCTATATCAGCTACAGTGGCTGCAGGTGCCCCAACAGCTGCCCGCGTGCTCCTCAAGCAGCGATCAGAGGACCAAAGTATCGGTCGGAGCTCCGGCAGCACCAGGATGGCGACTGGAAGCCCCACAACTCCCAGTGAGGATGCTTCAGTCGTTGATAGAACTGCAGGAACCACTGGGGAGGAGGCAGAGGACAACCACAGTGATAAGGGAACTTACACCATTGAACTGGAGAACAAAAATCCAGAAGAAGAGGAAGCCAGGCGCATGATTGACAAGGTAGATACGATCGATGTTTGCCAAAAAATGTGATGGAAAAAAAGCATTTTGAATTCCCTGATTTCTCTTGTAAAAATTTAGTAGGAATCCTAATAAAATGTTATTTTGCACCAGCATCATCAAATTCAGAGAGATATTTTCTCTTTATGTTCAGCTACAAAGACAACAGTTAATTTTGAATTTATTAATAAAAAACAGCAATAGTTTGTTGAAAGGGCAGTTTTCTTTTTTGCTTTGTTTTGCTAAATGTGTTTGTTCTCTGATAATCTTCTTAATTACCATTATTTGTTATTGGATGAAAAAATAACATATTATGTTTCTCTCATGGTGGACCTTACCACTGCAAATGCATTTTCTTATGGAGCTGTAGTAGCTCAGTGGTCATTGCCTCGGATGTCACAGCATCATCACTGGCATGTTCAGTACTCATTGTAGCACCAAGTGCACACGAGAATTGAAAAATCAATGCTCTGAACAGCTGGAACATAACGTGAAATCGGCTGAGCTATACGGGAGTCAGTATATTTTCGTTCCCGTGGGGGAAGGCAGTAGGACCTGATGACATACCAGTGGAGGTTTGGAAATGTCTTGGAGAGATGGCAGTGAGGTTTTTGACTCAAATATTCAATAGTATGTATGAGGGTGAGAAAATGCTTCAGAAATGGAGAAGAAGTGTGCTGGTGCCCATTTTTAAGAACAAGGGTAATGTACAGAGTTGTAGCAACTACAGGGGAATTAAGTTGATGAGCCACACGATGAAGATCTGGGAGAGAGTTGTGGAAGCAAGGCTTCAACAAGAGGTGACTATCTGTGAGCAGCAGTATGGTTTCATGCCAAGAAAGAGCACCACAGATGCCATCTTTGCTTTGAGAATGCTGATGGAGAAGTACAGAGAGTGTCAGAAAGAACTCCATTGTGTATTTGTGGATTTAGAAAAAGCATATGACAGAGTGCCAAGAGAGAATGTGTGGTATTGCATGAGGAAATCTGGAGTGGCAGAAAAGTATGTTAGACTGGTACAGGACATGTATGAGGACAGCAGGACAGTGGTGAGATGTGCTGTAGGGGTGACAGATAGCTTCAAGGTGGAGGTGGGATTGCATCAAGGATCGGCTCTGAGCCCCTTCTTGTGTGCTCTGGTATGGACTGACTAACATATGAGGTCAGGCAATAATCCCCATGGACTATGATGTTTGCAGATGACATTGTGATCTGTTGTGAGAACAGGGAACAGCTGGAAAAGAAATTGGAGAGGTGAAGGTTTGCACTTGAAAGAAGAGGAATGAAAGTCCACCATATTAAGACAGAGTACGTGTGTGTAAATGAGAAGGAGGCTGGTGGAACAGTGAGGCTACAAGGAGCAGAGGTCACAAAGGTGCAGGACT